TCCATCCATCATCCCTCCATCCCTCCAACCCTCCCTCCACCTCCCCATTCATCTCCCCATCTGTTCTCTATCCCTCCACTCAACCCTCCCTTACCTCCACATCCTGCCACCCCTTCAACCATCTCCCCGGCCATCCCTCCCTCCATCTCCCCATCCCATCCACCCCCCATCTATCAATCCCTCTATTCATCCCCTATGTCCAACCAATCCCTCATCCCCTCTCTCCATCTCCCCAGCCATTCCCCATACATCTCCCCATTTGCCCGTCCCCCATCCCTCCCTCCATTTCCCCGTCCATCCCTCCGTCCATCCCTCCGTCCATCCCTCCTGCCCTCCGCAGCCCTCCCCGGCTGTCCCTGCGGCCGGACTCACTGGTGAGCAGTCCCCAGCCGCTGAGCACGCAGGGGTACCCGTTGGGCAGCACGGAGCCGGCGGGCGGCAGCCGCCCCACCTGCACCTGCGCCGAGAGCACGGCCGGCCGCTGCAGCTTCATCAGCGCGATGTCATTGCTGCGCGCAGGGACACGGGTCAGAGGGGCGGCCGGGGGGGCGCGGCGTCCCCAGCCCCCCAGGGACCCCGCTCACCCGCAGGCCGCGCAGAAACTGAGCCACTTGGGGTGCACGAAGATGTCGTCGGAGTTCACGGGGATGCTCTGCTCGGGGCCCTCCCCGGTGCTCCTGTCGTACTCGCCCAGCACCACCTGGTAGGTGCGGGATTTGCTGCCAGGAAAGGGGGGGATCAGCGCTTGCGGCCCCTCCTCGGCATCCCTCCTGCACCCGGGACCCTTTCACGCACCCAAACGCTCTGCTCTGCACCCTAAATCCCCGTCCTGCACCACTCCATGCACCAAATCTGCACCCAAACTCACCTCTCTGCACCCTGAACCCCATCTCCTCTGCACCCTGAACCTCTTCCTGCACCAAACCCTCCGCCCTGCACCCTGAACCCCCGCCCTGCACCTCCCCGTGCACCCGCCCTGCGCCCAAACTCACCTCCCTGCCCTCTGAGCCCCTTCCCTGCGCCCACTTTGCACTTCTCACCCCATCCATGCACTCCTTAACGCATGTGGCAACCCCTCCCCGCACCGGGAATGCCCTCCCTGCTCCCCGAACCCCGTCTTGCACTCAGGACTCCCTTCCTGCACCCCATTGCACCCCTGCTGTACCCAGGACTCCCTGTACCCCGATAAACCCTCTCCATGCACCCATCCCTGCACTGCAGCACCCACCCCTGTGCCCCACATCCCC